ATCAGAGTCTGGCTGGGCCCCGCATCTCCGCTTCTCATTTTGAAGATGTTGCACCGCTATTGATCGGCGGTGAAGATGTTCCAGGACCTTGGCTAGCTCTTCCGTCTCCCCTCCCTCTGCCCTTGCCATTGGCCTCCGCTCTCCGCCCACATTGCGACCCTGCATATGTCAAGACGAATACCCCCATCTTGGTCCATCTTGAGCATGGCCATGCATTTGGGCTGCGCGTATTAGGAATGAGAAGGGGGGTGTTCGAAGCATGGTTGGCTGGAGCTCGTCAGAGCTGGTAGAGCCAGAGGCTGCCCAGAGAGAACATCTGCATTACGAATTGTCCGTCCTTGTTGTGGTGGGGGAGAGTAGGATTGCTATGCTACGCTATAAAGTCTCGAGGGTCCTTCATTCGGCTTCATTGCCGCCTCATTTTCTCCCCAGTCATTAGCATATCGTTGTGCAGAATTTCAAAATGCTTCGATCTCGTTTCCCATCAGCTCATCACTTCACTGTGTCAATCTTCGGATGCCAGTATCATGCCGACTCACCCTCACCTGAGAAACTATCTCTCATCAACAAGTTTGACGGACTCATCAAGGCCGCCGCGATTCATGTCGAAGAGCTCGAGCAAAATGACCTCCCCTCCAAGGTCTGGATGAGCTACTGGAAGTCTCCCCAGGTTTTCAAGGCATGGTGGGAGAGCCCGGAAACTTCTGCCTTCTGGGCCGCTCTGCCTGAGAACGCTGGTTTCTGGAGAGAGACCGTGAGCTTGCCCGCCACGAGATCAATGTACGAATCCAACAAGGAGCAACCTTCTGGTTTCGGCCACTGCGGAGAGCTGATCCCCCTCACTTCGAAAACGGGATACTGGGGCGCCTACCGCTCGCGTATGACCCCTGATGGCCCGGAAGACAAGTTCGAGTCTCCTCTGCCTGCGGTACCCGAGGCTCGTCCTTTGACGGACAAGATCCGCCCCGGAAGGGTCAGAGTGTCCAAGTTCCCTGACAACATCTCCTTTGTTGTCGAGGGCCAAGACTACAGTGCCATGAATGATAACGAGCGCGAACACTGGAACGAGAACTTCGACGGTCTGACCAAGCAATGGGTCACCAATGTCATGAACGCTGGTCCTGCCGGTGGGATGGTTTCTTCAAGGGCCTGCCACGCCTTCGCGGGTAATAAGCAACCTGGTGCCACGAAAAGCGCTGTCAACGGCGCCTCAACCAACGGCACTAATGGTACAAATGGTACCAACGGAACTTTGACAAATGGACACGGCAACGGAATCTTCCCCGGCTTGGACTACATTCGTCAGGCCCAGATCCTCTTTTGGCTTGATCTTTCCAAAATGGAACACATCGGCAGAACGGATAAGGTTCACGTCAAGCTCAGACGCGACTTTTTCGCTGCATACGGGCCTGGTGGAGTTATGGAGGGTGGTGATTTGCTGCTTTGGGTTGATGTGGCAGTTCTGAAGGGTGAAGAGATGGACGCGGAGTATGTTGGGTGCTATGATGGAACAGGATTTCTTGCATACGACGACCACCCCGCGTTCGCGAGCGAAAAGGTGGACATCGCCAAGCTGCCAGCGTTTTTCGACGCGCCGATCAAGTCCCAGCCCATTGAGTGGTAAAGCGTAATAGTAATAATGTGTCATCTCATGTTTGTGTCAAAATCGTCCACGTAATCCTCCTTTGTAGGTGACCTTTCACAATAAACAGACGAAGAGCCTCCTCTAGCAGCCGGTGGGCACAGATAGCAGAGAAGCATTCCGTCTTGGGTGCTCGCTGCTCCGTGCTCCACGTTCATCCGGTATATTACGAGGCCAAAATTTCGCTCAATCAGGAACTGCACATTCACAATCAGCAAGTGTTTCCGAGTGGGGGCGGGCCGGGATTGAGTCAGTGGTTGAGAATAGAGTTCACAGGGGCCCCTGTTCCAAGTCGGCCCAGTTCCCCGGACGGGACCGTTCTTCAGCAACGACTAATAGAAATGCAACGTGCATGGGGTCCGCCGGCCGGCAACCTCGTCGCGGCCCAACGGGCCAGAAGGCGAGACCACGGGAGGGATCTATTGTCTTACCAGAAATGGTCTGGTTTTGGGGGATGTGCGACCGTCGCCGAGATCTAACCTGCCCATCCGCTGATTGTGGTTGGGAATTTGGTCCCTAGTGGTGCCCGTTTCTGATGATCCAACGGTTTTAACAAGCATCTTATGACCCATCATTACAACTTCATTGTTCACGTAACCAGCTACTGGCCAAACTCTCCATTATTACGAATCCCGCATGGGACGAAAGTCATGTTATGTCGTTTTCTCCGATGCCACGCAAATGCCTCAGGAGCCCTTGCTTTCTGCTGCCAAGTCAGTTTGACGTTCCCTTCCGCGGGCCAATGCAGTCCTTGTCTGCCAGCTTGCTAAGTCATGTCCCATGAGCAGAACTTTCTAATGTGGAAATGTGCTTGCCGATCTCCACACCCTGACCTCTCAAACAATCTACTTCGGCCAGATACGTTCAGAGAGGAAGAGAGAAAAGGGGGTTCTCTCGTCATTACCGATTCAGCACTGTGGACCTATGTTGTCTCCTCCAACCCTGAGAACGCTTTCCTGTAACGTAGAATTACTACCTGAGTCCACAATCACGGTTCACTATCTTTATGTCTTCCAGTCGTTCCCCTGGACCTAATGAACGAGGGTTTGGTCGATCCTAACTGCCGATTGCAGGTTGGAAGTAACCTGCAGATGGGTCCTGCAGGCGGCAGACTCTGCAACCTTTTCGCGACCCGATTCTTAAGCACGAGCTGCCCAAAACTGGCGTCTGTCTAGCCGGTTCAGCATTACCCGCAGGTCTACTCCTTCAACTTTTTGGAAGCGCTTTGTTTTTGCCTATCCCCGATTAAGAACGAGTGTGTGTGTGTGCGTGCATTTGCGGTCAACTCCGACAACCCGCAACAATGGCGGTCGCTGAAGCGTTGATGCCGGCGGTGATTGAGATGTGGGTGGAATATGCCATTGGAATTTTGGTTCTTTTTCTACGAATCTTCACGAGATGTAAGAAGGTGGTGGGTTTCAAATGGCAAGGCGACGACTATTTGGCCGTGGCGGCCATTATATTCTTCACGGTTAGTTTATTGTCTCAATCGGGAACCCCTATTCCCAACCACACCACGGAGCGGGCTCCGCTGACAACACCATGAACCTTAGTTAGAGGTTATGATGTGTCAAATCATCGGTAAGAACAGACTCCTGTATGCCAAGAAACTTTACTTTTGTTCTAACGACCGCTTTCTAGTTGAGAAGGGAAGCATCACGGGTATGACCGACGAGATCGCGTTGAGCCTCACGCCAGAACAATACAAGAGCCACGAAACGGGAGCGAAATGGCTTTTCGCTGCGTGGTATGTCTACGTTAGCATGATTTGGAGTCTGAAGGGCATCATGCTCTTCTTCTTCTCCAGAGTCACGTAAGTTGCTGTTCATCGTTTTCCTGCGGAACAGACGCTAAACAACGATTGGGCAGAAAAACTCTGCCAGAGGAACGCCTGGTCAAGGTGGTGTCCGTCATTACCGTCTTTGCCTACTTGGCCACACTTGCGGTTGTTACAGGACATTGCCGTCCTATGCACAAGCTTTGGCAAGTGTATCCCTATGCCGGAGGTAAGGAAGATACTGGGATGTTTCGAAACGCGTTGGACGGCGAGAATCTAATGTCCTGTAGATGACTGCACGCAAAACACCTCCAAATATTACGCGTTGGTGACTACAAACGTCGTGTAAGTACTGATGGATCTGGAACGTTCATCGTATTCCTTAGCTGACGCGTGTGCCTAGAACCGACATCATGATCATGTACATTCCCATCCCGTTGTTGTGGAGGTTGCAGACCACTCTTCAAAAGTAAGTTGCAACTGAACGCCAAAGGGTCTGTGATTCTAACAAGCCATAGAAAACTTGCATTCGGCCTAATGTTCTGTGCCGGTTTCTTTATCGTAATTTGCACGCTATTGCGGTGCATCATCTGCTTGAGCACCCCCGAACGACTTGACTTGGGATTGAACTGGTCCATCCGTGAGACGGTAAGCTCAAAATTCATCGCTTCTTAGGTCTTGATCGTCATTTTGGCTAATCAATTTCCGATCAGGTTGTTGCGATTATCTGCACGAACGCTCCGTCAATCAAGCCGCTTTTTCCCCATCGACGCACCGGCTCCACGAATCCGAGTACTCCCCACTCCGGCCTGGTCACATTCGGCGGCACCGGCAGCTCACACAAGATGTCACGCGTCAGAAATGGCCATCAGAAGCTCGACGACACATCCGTTGGCAGTCAGGAACATATTGTCAACCCAAAAGGCGCCAGGAGCCAGACCACGGCGTTTGCGGACGACCGAAGTTCCGATGACGGAGGAAACTATAACTCGGGTATTCAGGTCACTAAGGATTACCACGTTGAGGTTGGCCGATAATGAGATGGTAGGAGCTACTAATGTGTGAATTCCGAGGCAAGCTCTACGCAGGATTACAGAGCTGCTCTGGCGGTTAAACTCCATCCATCTGGTGCCTGCTGGTGGAAAAGAGTCAAGATGTATAATACATGTACATATTGCGAGCCGTCCTCCTACGGCTGGCCGGTTGGGTACGAATTAATGACGTTCTGGTAACGAAAGACTCGAGTGACTGGGAAAGTTCATGATCATCAAAAGCTACGTGAGAATTTGACATCCATTTGCCATCGTCACTTGTGTGGGGGCAAGCAGTTGGTATGGACAGGGAGTAGAGCTAAGAAACGGCATAACTCCTTAGCAAACCTTGACTACACGGGCAGGGTGCTCAAGTAACAACAGCCTCTTGATCAGGAAACATGTGATGTGTATGGACGGCTAGCGCTCCTCTCTCGAGTCATTACAAGCCTCGCCAGACTGTCTCAATATATGGATGCAAGAATATCCCATTTTGGAGCCCCGAGCAATCGTTTCAAGCCTTGCATCCGCCGCTGCATCTCAGTCTCCACTACGTCTTAGATACCAACAGACTGAGGTCCTTGACGTCTTCAAGGTTTTTCAAGCAGGTCTCATGCTTCTGCTTGATAAAGCCCCAAGCCGGTCCACCGAGTGGAACACGCAAAGGAATGCGTTTCTTGCTAGACGCAATACTGAAGATAGCGTCTGCAATCGCAGACGGCTTGGTAAGAGTTCCCGACTTGATACCCATCTCCACGTATTTCTCGAGAACACGTGCCGGCATATCTTTCTCGGCATAAGCCGGATGAGGCTCAGTCCGCGCCTTGCTATGCCCCTCGAAATTTGTCTGGACACCACTCGGCTCTACAATACAAAAGTTTACTGAAATACGTCAGCGACTCCTGCAATTTTTTATGCGAGATATGATGCCAGCTTACTGTTCCAATCAGGATGCATCTCCTTTGCCACAGACTCAGTCCACCCTTCGACGGCCCACTTCCCCGCGTGGTAGTACGCGTGACCCGGAAAGGCGCATTGTCCAGCAAGAGAGGAAATGTTGAAGATAATACCGCCTCGTCGGGTTTCAGACTGTCGCATGTTCTCGATGGCACAAGTGGTCATCCGAGCCGTACCGAAGAAGAGGGTCTCAATTTCCTGGTGAGCTTGTTCCTCTGTCGCAGACTCAGTATCGCCGGACAACGAATACCCGGCATTATTCACCAAGACATCGAGATGAAAATCTTTGCCAAAGTATTCGGTTGCGGCTTTGAATGCCTCTTTCACCGAGGTTGGTGATGTCACGTCAAGGACAAGTTTGAGGAGGTTGACATTGTCATCGGGCAGGTAATCCAGGTCCTTAGGATTCCGAGCTGTTGCGATCAAGCGATGTTTCGGTTTGCTTGCGACTAGAGCTGCCAGTGCTTGGCCGATACCCGACGAACATCCGGTGACTGGTAGTGTGTCAGTTGTGTGAACCTGAGCGATTCTCACCATAGCAACTTACTCAACCAGATTGCGTCCGGGGGAAGAGTGTACGGTTTGGTGTTAACCGGGTTCATATTGACGTTGGAAATTGAAATTTTCGAGATGCTATTGACGATCGAGTCTGGTAAAGAAAAGGTCGATGTGAGAGAGTATGCTAGCTGAGGCCATCCTTTTCTAATCTCACCGTCTCTGTCCCAGATTCGACTTCATCGTCGCGGATCTGATCTCTTGGGCTTTATAGTCCTGACTCGTGGGCTCACACATTTCGATGTTGACTTGAGGTCCAATTGATTTTTCGGCTCCAAGTTGTGGCGCAGATAGGATTCAAGGTGCTGACAGCCCAAACCCGATTCTTCTCACCGTGCCGGTCGGATGACTCAAGCGGTATCGGTCAGACTGCAATGCAACGGTATTCGCATTCGCATCTGGCAACATACCGCAAAGCACATGATTACTTGAGAAAACAATGCTCGCACTCGGCTATGCCCATTGACACTGGTCTCGCATTTTCTTCGCACTCGAACAATTCCCTCAGGCATTGATTGGTCTCCCATTTTATTTATGTCTAACATTGCATCTTCGAAGTCAAGCTTTGGAATGCAACGATCAACAGGATTCGTTTTCCGCTCTTCCAAGTTTTTCAAGAACAAGCAAGCATATGGAAACATTTGGCCGTCTGCATTCTTACCCAATAGTTGAGCTTTGAAGTGTCATTATCTCCGTCGCAGGCCCACCTACATCGTCTGACAGACAACGCGCGTCTGATGTGCCGCGCTTAACCCATAAATGAAGCGTCATCATTGGCCTAGAGACATAGCTCCAGACGACTCCAAGGCGTAATGCCATATAAAGGTTCTGCCAGTCCTAATAGAGCTGGGACGATGAAGGCCTGGGCGTAGACTCGCGCCACGGCGAAGGCCTTAGGACGAGATTAAGCTGTGAGGTTAGAAGCCCCTACTCTCAAACCTCAAACAAAGTTGACAAATGTGTTGCGGACGGAACAGATAACAAAGAGTACCCGGAGTTCATGGTTGTGTCTGTTCATCCAGCACCATTTCGGCGACTGGCATGATGGGCTTGCCGCTCATTTAAAGCTATGCAATACTTGACATGTTTCGCGAATCGTCGTCCCGTCATTTCCGTCGAAAAGATCGAAAAAGCGCAGAGACCGACGTTGGGCATCCATCTTAGGTCAAGCTAGGAGCGGAGATTACTACGAGCCTATTGAAGCCTGGTGGGTTGCGAGCAAGGACGAACACGACAAATACAAGGCTAGAAAGCCGTGGGACTGGACTCAACTGAGTCACAAGTGCATGCATGTGAGACTTGAGAAATATTCTGACTAGTGTTTATACGGTGATGATTCCAGCTACGAGTGCGAGTTGCCGGCATTATTATTTGATGGAAGCAAATATGCGAATCCATTCTGGCGTTTCTACATAGGCCGAAAGTTCAGATTAAGTTACATCAATAAATTTCTTTGTTTTCCTCTTCTGCATATAATCCGAACTACATGAGCATCGTGTCCAGGCATTGAAGTGACATTCGTACTCGCGGAACTAAAATGACGATATGCATGAAGATTTCAAATGGGATAGATAGTCTATTTTCCAAGTTCAGCGCCTGTCTTTTACTTTTTCATAGCTTGTACGCAGCCGGGTAATAGACTTTAGTAAGTTCAATTAGAGAATATGGTTAGAAAAGGATAGGATATGTTCGTAGCTGGAGACTTGTTGCTTCGTCACGCAAGTATAGATTTGATTCGAGGTTTATCAGATGACGCTTACTCTCTTCTCGTGTCGGATTAAGTTTTACCTGGTTGAGTTAGTCAAGTCACTGTGTCAGTGGACTGAAGCCGTGACAAAATTCGCCCACAAAAGGGTTCTGAAAGTTTGGTCTTTTCGTATTCATACATCATCTCATAGTTTCTACTTAATCAGCTCACTTACTCAGCTCCAAGGCAAACGAGAAATGGAGGTGGCTGGAACCGAATCAAGTTGCAACTGGTCACACGAGACTTTGGTTAGTGGGGAAGCCCGCAGTACAACGGGCACTTAACATCTCCACCCCACAAAAAATAGCCAGAGCCTTGAGCAAACCCTGCGCGCAACAACGCCATGTCTCCGAGTCCACACCTCACCGCCTACTTCAACCGCATTGTCGCCGCGGCTCCTTGACGCCAATGGCCGCGGAGAGAGACGCCTCGCCCCCACGGCAGCTGCCGGACGCCGAACCGGAAGAGCTGTATGGCCAAGAGGTACGCCTGGAAGAGGAGGCTTTTGCTTGGTATAATCCCGACAAGTGGTACCCGATCCAGATTGGCCAGGTCTATGAGTCGCGATATCAGGTGCTGCTGAAATTGGGGTTTGGCTCTGCGTCGACGGTGTGGTTGTGTCGCGATCTTGAGTATGTGCGCGATTTATTTCTATGCTTGTTGTTGTTTCGAGAGCTACTTTGCTAACTGGTGGTTTAGGAAGCATTGCTATGTAACTTTGAAAGTCTATGAGACTGGTCATCGGCAGGCTCGTAACGAGGAAGTGGTCCTTCGCCACTTGGAACGCCTCGAATCTGAGCACCCAGGACAGAAACTCCTTCGCTCCATCAAGGACAGTTTTGAGCTGCAAGGGCAAATCGGCCCGCATGTTTGTCTGGTCTTCGAGACTCTAGGCTTATCCCTGGCCGATATTCGAGAGTTGGCAGGCGGCAAGCTGCCAGAGAATCTCTTAAAAGGGTTGATATACGGCTTGTTACTGGGTATTGACTATATGCATTCAGTTGCACATGTCGTCCATACAGGTGAGAATGATTATGCTCCTGCAACACTTCACCATCATGCGCCTCAGAAGCTGAGGTGTTTTCTGCATCGGGGCATAGATCTGCTTCACTAACACACACGTCAGATATTCAAGATGGAAACATTATGCTCTCAATTTCAGACACGACAATCTTGGATGTCCTAGTGAACGAAGAATGGAGGCTTCCAAGCGCGAGAAAAGTCATGAGTGATCGTACCACCTACGCATCAACGGGGCTCGAGATCCCAGATGATCCAGGCGACCCTGTCATTTCAGATTTCGGCGATGCGCAATACGGAGAAGGCGACTTCGACGGCGAGGTGATGCCAGATCTGTACCGCGCGCCCGAAATCATCCTCGGAATTCCCTGGGACGAAAAGATTGATATATGGGCTTTGGGATTGATGGTGAGAGATTCGCCTGCGGCGAGGGGCCTGCCAATTGCTGACGCTGATTTTTCACCGTTGCCAGGTTTGGGATTTGTTCGAGGGGAAGCTACTCTACAACACACGACACCGCGATCGGAATGCATCCCGGGCAGCCCACTTTGCGAGGACGGTGTCTTTGCTCGGACCACCGCCTGATGATCTTCTGGATAGAGGGTCGACATGGAAAGACTTTTTTGACGATGAAGGTTTGTTGATGACCGTGCGTGGTTTGCAATGTAGGCCGGGTGAGACTGACGCGCGAGAGACAGGAAAACTAGTTATCGACGGCGAGATACCAGAGTCCTCGTTCGAGGAGGAAGAGTGTAATCTCCAGGGAGCGGAGCAAGCCGAGTTCTTGGTGTTTCTGAGGAAGATGCTGCAGTGGAAACCAGAGGATAGGTTATCCGCCCGAGAACTGATGGAGGACCCGTGGCTGTGTCGGCAGACGGCTGATGACTGAAGGGAGACTTAATTAGATGAGGATGAAGACCCAGAGGCGTGAACAGAGAAAAGGAAGACGGTTGATAGGAAGCAGAAGAAGATACCCCATTGCTTTGATGTTTCGATGATCCAAGCTTCTTGAGAAGTTGTGGTCCAAAGGCGTTCTTTCAAATTGCTTGGTCAAGTGTCTCATCAGGAAGTCTATCATGAATGATGAGAGGCGTCTGGTGAGCCATAGGCACTACATATGGACATCCTTGAACGTAACAATGAAGCCACGGTCATCCGAACGGGGCATTCAGTGAGTCTGCTCAGTTATGAAGAAGAATTAGATCATTAGAATTATTCCAAACATGCTTCTATATGCTCCGTGTCCCATTTTGATCCCGAAATAGCATCCCAATCCCCATCATCATGTACAATGACCGGGAAGGGTTTTCTAGGCGCCGGAACTATGCGAAAGTGCGAAGCATCCATCAAAGGAGTGTCGTGAAAGCATAACAGCCAAATCATCGTAAAAGTCGTGTAAAGCGTCGTCAATTATGTGCGGATGGAATTGAGCCCCGCGTTGGAACTCTGGTTACCCATGAACCGTGGTTTAGAATGGTCCCGTCTAAGCGACCGCGGAGATCTCCTTGATCGGGGTAGGCAGCGTGATGATGCCGCAGTTGATGTTGCGCGTCGAGTAAATCTGGCCAATGGTCCAGTTGTCATTTTGCCAGAACGTCTCCTCGCACTGGAGATCGGCGACGGCGCCGCCCTTTGCGGTGTAGCGGGCTCTGGTTGTTCACATTCCAATAAGCCTAGGCGTTTCTTATGGCAAACCGTACTCCGTGACGCTTTCGGCGCAAATGTTTCATCGCCAGGGGAAACTCCACGAGGTAGAAGGCAAACCGGTAGGGAGTTGAGAGGATGTGACTTACGGGTACTTTGGATCATCATTGCAAGTCCACGACTGGTTCAACGCAACAGCCTTCTCAGGCGTGCTCCACGTGAAGGACGTGGCCGTGCTCTCCCCGCCCTCGGGCGGCGTGCACTGATAGACCTGCTCGCCATAGAAGAAGTCGTTGAGACGGCTGCTGGCGGCGGAGCAGGCGACGGTGTAGTCGAGGACCGGATTGGAGACGTTGAAGCTGATGTAGCCCCACGAGTTCTGGTGGGAAGGCGTGCTGAAGATGTAGCTGGCGTGGTAGTCGAAACCCGTGAACGTCCACTCGGAGAGCTTGCCTGATTTCTGGCCGCACGTCTCCTCGCGCTGGGCGATGGGGGAGGCGAGGGCTGGGGCGAGGAGAAGGAGGCTGGCAAGGAAGTGCATTTTGAGGGTTGGTGAGGGTTGTGATGGGTTGAGGGGTCTTTAATTTGAGAGGATGAGTTTATGTTTACTGTGAAATGGGATTAGGTGGGATGGAA